GGGAGAAGTAGACTCCCTGCAGAACAGGGAGCCCAATGCAGGACTTGATCCCAGGACCCTGGGACCATGACCTGAGCCGAAGGCAGATGCTGAACCAACTGAGCCACCCAGGTGCCCAAGGAATTACTTTCTAATCAATTTTTGTTTACTATTTTCTTGGTTACATTGAGATTTAATACATCTTTCCCTAAAGAAGTTATCCATTGATTTGGTCTTCATTCATTTATCATTTTGCTAGTTATGCACCTACTAAATGCATAAATAGTATTGGACTCTGCTACACAGAATTATGCATGACTCCCTAAAGTAATCTTTCTTCCCAAGGATCCGGTCATATCAGACTACACTTGTTTCCTTTCTTTCCCTTCCCTTCTCTACCTCTCCATTCCCTTCCCTTCTCTTTCCTTTTCTCAGACATTAATTCTACAATTTTCAGATTCTCCCAAATGATCTCTTTACCTCTTCTTTTCCATGTCTGACAATAGCAGAACACACTTCTGGCTGTCACCCAGAGAAAAATAGTCCTGAAACATTTCTTGGTTCCACCTGCTCTAGAGCCATCAGCACTAACTTCTCAAAGTCAACTCCTCTTGATCAGAGTTTAAACAGAGTGGAGGTTACAAAGTAGAAAAAAGTTTGGTTATGTTGAATTTTTGAGTCAGAATCCCTGACATCAGTTGTATTAGCAGAAATATATTTTGTTCTTGTGTTATGAACACCTATCTTTTGTCTTTCAAGTTCTTCCAATCTTTCTGGAAACTATATCCCCTCCCCCAACTCTTTTATTTGACATAAGCCCTCTAGTAACCCTAATCCACATGAATAAAACTTGTTGGTCCATTGGAGCAAAAAGGATCAAAGACTTAAACTTACAAGCTAAACCTATAAAACTCTTAGAAGAAAACATTGCAGAAATATCTTTGTGGCATAGGATTTGGCGATGACTTCATGGATATAACCAAAAGCACAGGCAATAAAGAAAAAAAATGATAAGAATTTTTGTGCATCAAAGGATACTATCAAGAAAACAAAAAGAAGACCTACTACATGGGAGAAAATATTTGCAAATCTTACATCTGATAAGGGACAAATAGCCATAATATATATATATTTTAAAAAAACTCCTACAATTCAATAGTAAAAAGATACATAACAAAAAATTGGCCCAGGACTTGAATAGATATTTCTCTGAAGAAGATATTCAAAGTGGATGTTAAGCACATTAAAAGATATTATTAGTCTTTAGGGAAATGAAAATGAAAACCACAATGAGATATTACTTCACATCTAATAGGATGGCTATAATTTTTTAAAAATATTAAATAACTTGCTGGCAAGGATGTGGAGAAATTTGGGCCCCCCTGCATTATTAGTGGGAGTGATACAGCAGCTGTGGAAAATCTGTCTGGTGGTTTTTCAAAAGGTGTAACTTGGAATTACCATAGACTCAGCAACTGCACTCCTAGGTATATATCTAAAGAACCGAAAGCGGGGACTCAAACAGATATCTGTACCCCAGTGTTTGTAACACAATAGCCAAAAGGTGGAAACTACACAAAGGTCTATCCACAGGCGAATGGATAAACAAAATGTAGTACATACACACAATGGTATATTCAAGTTTAAAAAAGAATGAAATTCAGATACATGCTACAAATGATGAACTCTGAAGCCATGCTGAATAAAATAAGCCAGACACAGGACAAATACTGTATGATTCCACTTACGGGAGTTACCTGGAATAGGCAAATTCATAGAGAGGGCAAGTAGCACAGGAGTTACCAGGTGCTGGGGGAAGCCTGAAGCGCTTTATTTAATGAGAAGAGGCCACTGTACACTGGGAGAGCAATATATTCAAGCCCAATTAACTACTTTTGGAGGAAAAAGGTGAAGCGGGAAGGGAGAAGTCGGAGACCCCAGCTGATCCATTGCTTGGAGCTCATTTAGCCAGTCTGGGGGGCCTCGAAGGGGCGGGTGAATAGGCGCTCGGCTCTGAGAACTGTGAGTCCCGCTGCCGGGTGAGGAGCTGGGCCGGGCCGGACGTCTCCCGGAGGAAAGTTGGGACCGCAGACCCGGGATCCCGCGGGGAGGTGGGAACAGTCGATCGTCCCGACAGCGGCCGACCTTCATCACGGAGCCGCTCTCAGGGGACGGGAAGGCGCGGTGAGTTGAGGACAGCCCGCCCCGGCCGGTGCCGCGCCGGTCCTCGCCGCGTTTCTGTCAGGAACTGGGCGAGGCCTGAGGCGCTCGGGGCGGGGCGGCCGCTCGCGCAAGTGGGGCTGGCGGGAGGACCGCGCGTCTGCGGAGCTGAAGGAGCTGGGCTGACTCGGCTTTTGTTTTGGTTGTTCCCGGACCCACTGTGTTTGTGACTAGGTGTGTCTTGCCCCCTGAGCGGCTGCAGGTGCGGCGTGCGTGTGTACTGTAGCCACCTTGTTTTCCAGCGGTGGGAAGGAGACGTCGGGGGTGGGGGGCGGGGAGCTACCGGCTCCAGCTTTCGGCGCGCGGGCCACACGCGGGTCCTGAAGGCTTCTCCCTGGCGCCTGGGGGTATGGGACGGGTTTGCTAGGAATTAGGGTGTTCCCCAGGAATTGGGGCGGTGGGGGGCTGATTCGGTTCCCGGCATGCCCGCCGTGTACCCCGGGGCGGGTGATGGAGATGCCCACACCCCACTTTCCTCCCCGACTGGTAGGGACCCCTCCCTGGCCGAGGCTCGGAGACCAGGGTAATTTGTTTTCTTGTTTATTCTCTTACCTTGTCAGGTTCCTGCAATCTTTGTCATGATTGGTTTTTCGAGTGAATGTTGGTCTTGGCTTCCACTCACTACCTATTTCAAATCAGTATTTTATATCTGAGTTTTGGTACTTTAAAAAAAAAACAGTTTCTGAGAGTACAAGTCGTAAGGAATGACTAATAGATCAGAAAAATTTATATAGTAAGCATTATAGAAGATAAGAAAATGCTAAATTGTCACTAAGATAATTAGATAAAGCGCACGCTTTCTCAACAGACAAGAAATTATGTAGTCACACAGTTTTCTAGTAAATTCTGAGGTAGCAAAGCCATATATAAAAGTGGTCCAGTGGGTTTTAATTTTGAAAACTTTTTTTGTTGCTTTAAATTATATAGTTTTCCTGAGATGAGAAAGGGAACATTTTGTTACTTAAAAAAAAAAAAAAAAAAAAAGTATTTATTTTGAAAAAGAGCCTCTGCCCTTGAACCAGGAGGGATGGGAGAGGGGCAGAGGGAGAGAGACTCTGGAGCAGTCTCCTTGCTGAGTGCAGAGCACCACTCTCCATCTAAGGACCCTGAGATCATGGTTCCAAATCAAGGGTTGGAGACTTAGCCTACTGAGCCACCCAGGAGCCCCTATCTGTTCCTGTCTGCATAGTATAGCAACATGATTAGCATGTTCATTTATACTTTATCAGGTAATTATTTTCAAGTTCTGAAATTGTTTACTTAAAGATGTTAAGGACTCCTTTAGCATATTTTTGAATGACTCCCTTCTGTCTCCCTCCCTGTTATCTTGGGTTTCTATTGTTAATATAGTCAATTGTTTTAGAACAATTGCTAATATGTTTCAACTTCACTATTTCTTTTGGTTGGTGACTAAGTGATTAATAAATTAAAAAAAAAAAGGAGGACAATTAAGTTAAACAGATGGAAGGGAGAAAAACTCCAATGACTAGAACAATGAAAAATCCCAAAAGTTCTGGATAACTAAGAACAGTCTTAGGATATACATAGATCTAGCCCTCTTACCAGTAGTATTTTGTCAAGGGGTGTCACATACTCCCACAGGTATCTCATCCCCACCTTAGGAAGGATTTAAAATTGAAGGGGCATGATCTGACCTGATAGTATGGATTTCTCCACAAGATGGCACTCATATAGTTTCTTTGATTTTAGTTTCTATCCTAAGGAAAGATTTGCAGTGTAAATTCACAGAGTAAATAGAAACGTGACTTATGTTTTATGATTTGTGCATCTATTTCATGTTTTGTTATATAGAATTTTCTATCATGTTTCAGAATTGAGGGAAAAAAATTGGGATGTGGTGTTCATATGCAGGGGAAAGAATGGCAATGTGAATGGAACAATGTATGTGTCTGTAGAAATGGTTCTTCAGTCTCCTATCAAAGTTGAGGCTTTGTTCAGCCCTAGAATTTTATTCTAGTCCCATGTGGCCAATGCTAAATGTTTTTATCCTTTATATTTAGGTACCATCTCTGAATGTAAAAATTGGCTTTTTTAAAAGGAATGTAAGCATTTCTATGTACATGTTATGTAATATGAATGTAAACATACATATATATGTTAAATTTGAAAATTTTTTTATTTTGGAAAAGTTCAAACATATATACAAAATTGACAACGTTATAATGAACTACATGTACCTATTATATAGCTTTAGCAATTATCAACTCATTGCCAATCTTGTTTTATCATTTCCCCTTACCTTTCCCCATTTATTTTGAAGCAAACCTCTGTATGTGTATCTGGCATATTGTTAGAGGCACACACGTATTCACCATAAAATGCATTATCCTAAATCAAAAGTAATGGTATGGACAAAGTATTAAGAGCCCAAAAGGAGTGATTAATTCTGCCTTGAAGAACAGGACAAACTCAGAGAAGCCTTTGAAGAAAAAATGACATTTGACCTATACATTAAGGATGTGTAGGGACCTGCCAGGTAGAGAAGAAATGGAAGAAAACACATTCTAAGCATTGGTGCAGTATGAGGAGAAGGGTACAGATGTGAATATGCATGAATTAGTGGAGAATTAGTGGAGAATAGAGAATTAATGTATTTGAATATTGAGGCACTGTGGAGGAAGCTGCAGAAGATGCAGCTGGGAAAAGAGTCTGTGGTTATTCTAGGAAATTAATGATTATAGTTTATGTATCCAGAAATATTTTTCTACAGCTTTATGAATAAAATATAAACTACTTTTTCTACATTTTTGTAGATTTATGACACAGTCCAGTCTTTAACAATGCTGAAATCAAATGACTCGTTGTTTTCCTTGGATACTTTGTTTTTTGAAAAACCAGGTGAAGCTAAAAAGTAAGTCTGCCTTAATGATAATATAGTATATTGTTTTAGAGATTTTTTATTTTTAAGGAGTTTTAATTTTCTCACTAGACATATACAAATAAAAAACGAGGGGTCGACAAAATGATTTTTCAGGTATATAACTGGTAAACATGGAATTCAGATATAAGGGAGTATCTGAATTTTAATATGTTAAATGTTATATCTTAAAAAATAGAGCAGATGCTTGCCTGTTTGGCTTTCATGTGTTTGCATTTCTGGTTTGTTCAAATTATTTTTGTCCAAGGTAAAAACTTGAAGTAATGGTCAAACAGTAGCAACGGACAAGGAGTGATGACACCTTTTGGAAACAGAATGGGCAGTGTGCCAAAGACCAAGTGTGATGGGCAGATTCATTGTAGGCAGGTAGTAGGGGTGGAAATAAAGATGTGGTGCCAGAGGGAATAAGAGCAGAGAATAGTCTGTTAAATACAGGTTTTTATGGATTTTCACATGTAAATTTTTCTCAATTCTAAGTTTTCTATGTATTCTATTGTATTATCTTTTTTCTTTTTTTTAAGATTTTATTTTTAAGTGATCTCTACACCCAGTGTGGAGCTCGAACTCACAAGCCCAGGATCAGAAGTTGAATGTTCCACTGACTAAGCCAGCAGGCGACCCTATATTATCCTTTTTTAAAGAAAGGAAGTATTGAGTAAAGTATTTATTGTTTCATTAATTTTTTCATTCATTCAAGTATTATTTCAAATATTGATTGAATGCAGAAAAGGATATAAGAAGGATGAAACAGACTTTTACTTCAAAAGAACTTAAAATATATTTAAGGAGATTAAGAACACATATGGAAAGGTCATTAATAAGTAACATAACTGTAATTCATCATCCAGACTTGGCTACTTTGAGAGTGAAAGAGTGCATCCAATTTGTACAACATGTGTTAATCAGGACTGGTCTGGGCAAAATGCAACATATGGTTGCCTTTCTAACAATACTGAGTCAAAAAAAGATGTGAAGGAAATGATAAGCATACATTCATGCAATGAAATTTCAGATTTGGAGGGAGACCTGGTGTAGACAGATCAGGTTAGGCTTTATGGTAATGGGGAGAGACTTCAGGAGACTTTGAAGGATTTGATAATTCTAATAAGCAGAGGGAAGAGGCAATTCGAAGGCAGAGTTTAACAGCAAGAAATAATAGAGGTGGGACAATTCGCAGTATTTTTAGGTGATAATGTATAGAGAAGTTTCGTGGAATAGGAGACTCATAAAGGAGAAACAGTGGGACATAAAGTTAGAAAAGTAAACTGAGGATAGATTGTGGTGGATTTTAAGTGCCAGAATAAGGATCTTGGACGTGACCATGTGTTAAAAGCCATGGAACTGAATCAACAAACATTTATTGATGATATGTCTTATTATGTAAAGCACTGTGCTAAGTAGTATTGATGTGAATGGAACTAGAAACAAACCTTTATGTGTTTATGATTTGGGGAGGGTATCAGACTGATCTATCCTCAATCTTTCTATTATCTATATATAATATGCAATATATATATTTTCTACACACAGACATATAATACAATAGGACTGTAATAAATATTATTGGTTCAAATAGTACTTAAGAAGAGGGAACAATTTTAAACTTTTTAAAAAAGATTTTATTTATTTGAGAGAGAGAGAGAATAAGAGCAAGCATGAGCGTGGGAAGGTCAGAGGAAGAGCCAGACTCCCTGCTGAGTAGGAAGCCTGATGCAGGACTCCATCTCAGGACTCTAGGATCATGACCTGAGCTGAAGGCAGTCGCTCAACCAACTGAGCCACCCAGGCACCCAGAAGAGGGAAGGATCTAAGTTTGATTTTGAATGAACATAAGCTCTAGTGTCTAGAATATTTCCTGGAAAGTAGTTCTCGTAAATAATTGTTGAATAGATTAATGAAGGAATGAAACAATGGAACTTCTATAGGTAGATACAGGATAGGGTCATGTACAGTGGCAGTCAGAGTAAAAGAAATATTTTTGAATAAAGATGAGGAGGTACAGAATATGTTATCTATTTGGTATGCAAGTAGTTCACTTTGGGCTGGACTGTAAGGTAAGTAGAGTAGGAGAGTTAAAACTCTAAGATAGCCTAAGGCCATTTGGACGTTTGATATTGTTTGGAAGCCACTGAAGTATTTTGAATGGAATATAATTATGATGAAAACAATTCTGAATCAGTGTGATAGGAGTGTGTAAAATACGTTAGAGAAAGCCAGAGGCAGTGAGGCCAGTTAAGACATGATTGTTCTTAACCAAATTGATTAGAGCTTTGATTGAAATATTGACAGTGGAAATACAAGGAAATGAATTCAAGAAGCATTATAAAGAAGATGCAGTAAGACCTGGTATATGTCTGGATATATAGATATAAGATTTTGCTATAATTTGAATTCTGGATGACTGAGAGAATGATGATGCCTCTGGAAAATAGGGAAGTCATAAGGGAGATTTGATTTTTACGGGGATGCTGAATAGTAGAATTGTATGTGTGCTTTTTTTTTTTTTTTTAAGATTTTATTTATTTGACAGAGAGAGATCACAACTAGGCAGAGAGGCAGGCAGAGAATGGGGGAAGCAGGCTCCCTTCTGAGCAGAGAGTCCAATGCGGGGCTCAATCCCAGGACCCTGACTGAGATCATGACCTGAGCTGAAGGCAGAGGCTTAACCCACTGAGCCACCCAGGCGCCCCAGATGTGTGCTTTTTATCTCTCTCTTAGATTTTCTGAAATAGTCTCTGTGTAGAAAAGAGTTAATACATCAGGCCTAAACTACTGTCCTTGAAAAGGCCCTGGTTGTACGAATGGCCCTTGGCTAGAGTGAGAACTTTAAGAAAGTTCCCACCATTAACTGATAGGAATGGCTCACTGCCTAAACTGTTTATACAGATAGGTTTATGCTGACTATCTGCTTTTCTTCTGGGAATCTAGAATTTAGGTATGTACTAGACAGGGGATGCCCACGTGATTAGTCCCCAGTAAAAACACTGGGCATTGAGTCTCTAATGAGCTCCCTCATTAGCAACACTTCACACATGCTAGTATAGCTTGTTGCTGAGGGAATTAAAGATGTCCTGTGTTGCTGTACTGGGAGAGGATCTTTGGAGGCTTGTGCCTGGTTTTCCCTGGACTTTGCCTCATAGTCACAAATAGGACTATATGTTGAATTTGAATCAACCCAGGGAATCATTGGCTCTGGGGGTGCTCTTGGGGACCCTCTGACAGTCCTAAATTTCAAATGCTTTGGTCTATTATCAGACAGTCTGTCAGACATTGTCAGATAATGTGTTGTAGATTTTTGATTTGGAAAACATAGCTGTGGGAGCTATGTGTTAGGAGGTACAAAAGGCAGTAGTGTAAAAGACTGGGTCTCTCACTTTCCAGAGTTTAAAGTCCTAAATAAAAAAGATTTAAAAATATCATAAAATCCTTGCCACTTGGGGGTGCCTGGTTGGCTCAGTTGATTAAGCGACTGCCGTTGGCTTAGGTCATGATCCTGGAGTCCCAGGATAGAGTCCTGCATGGGATGTTCCCTGCTCAGTGGGGAGTCTGCTCTTCCCTTTAACGCTGCCCCCCTCTCATGCTCTCTCTCTCCCTCTCGTATTCTCTCTCTCAAATAAATAAATAAAATCATTAAAAAAAATCCTTGCTACTTGTCATAGACAGTGGGTGTGATGCTCTTCTCAGGTTTATTTCCTGTCAGCCAATACTTACTTTTTTGCTCTAATGAAGGACAAATCAACTTTTATTGAAAAGGAAACATTAAAAATTTATATGTTAATAGGATCAAAGCTGAAAGATAAGGAGAGACAGTTCACAGTGCCAACAGGGTGGCAAAATTCTCAAAAACTACTTTAAGTTTACAAAGTGATTATCATTTTCAACTAGTTTCTTGGATTTTCTGTGGTGGTTCGGGATCAAGGGTATTTGTATTAGGACACTAATTTGTAATAATATTTTAGGAATACTCTAGAGAATAGAGAATACCAGTAGTGGTGTCATTTACACACTGATGACCCATGATCTGTTGTGAAGTGTGTCATAAGTATTTTGTTACTTCTGATAGTAAAGATGCTGATGTTTCAGAATGATTTACTACTTTTTTTTTTTTTTTTTTTTACATTGGAACAGATTTAAGATTCTTGTCACAAGCTGTTGAATTAGAGGAAAAAAGATGGAGTTATAGCCATTATTTAGGTAGCATATCTCATATAGCAGTGTCATTAATCGTATGACACACAAGGGAAAAAAGATTGAGAACACTGCTGTGTATAAAGATACATCAGAGTCACCATAGAAAATTAATTTATAGGTTGTTTATCTAAGAGTCTGTAATTGAGTAGTTTAATTAATAGCTTCTGATATAACTTTATTAACATATATATTCACACTTTTATATTTTATATAGCTATCCAGACACTGAAAAATCATTGGATTGGTTTCTCCCACCTGCTCCATTGATTTCAGAAATTCCAGATACTCAGGCATTGGAGGAGGAAATAGGAAGTCATAAACTGTTAGGTAAACTATCACATACTTGTTATGAAGTTAAACCTGTGCAGCTCATGTCAATGTAAAAAAACCTAGTAATACATTAAAATGTTAATTCCTTTATTTTAATGAAATAAAATGATAGACTTTATTCAAAATAGTGCTCACCAAATCTTAAAATCAAAAACATCTTTCTTCTCCATATATACATATGCATACATATGCATATTGTGTGTATGCAGTACACTATCACAAACATGTACTGTTGCATGAATTTGTTTCCTCTTATTATTAAAGTTGTCATTGCCATTTAGTTTTTGTCTTGCCTTTTACTAAAGGTAGGATCTTCTGGCTTAGGAAACCACATTCTTGAAAAAAAGAAGATGCAGAGTATTTTATATAGTTTGGTAACATTTTTATAAAGTTAAAGACAAGCATATTCAAACAGTATATGTGATCTTATGTGATATTGTTAAAATTTTTGATTTTTCAAATTTGGTGGTAATTCATATATGTTATCTTATTAACCTTTGTAACTTGTGTATATTTTATACATGAAAATATACATTACATTTATATTCTCATATATACCAAATAATACATAGTATACACAGGCTTATATATACTATATATATATACATAGATGGTAAAACAAATTTAAGCCCTAACAATGCCTGCAGATTCCTCCCAACCTCTCAAAGATGCCTGTAAAATCTCTGTAAAGAAACCTTTAAAATTTTTCACCCTGATAAAAGCATTCCTTTATCTTGATTTTAGAAGCAATACTACAAAGTTAAAAGCATTGCATCATGTATTTAATACTGAATCAAATCCAGTATTGTATATGATCGGTCATTATATTTCTGTGTGTAAATTGGTAATGTAAATATTCAAATCCTCTTAATTGTATAATTATATCATTTGTAGCTGGTAAAATACTTAAAAAGTATAATAATGGTTATTTCTGTGAGTCAGAAATTAAACCTATTTTATAATGTAGGTTTTTTATAAATTTCAAATTTCAGTGAATCTTAATTTGAGTGCCCTTCAGTGATATAGTATACAATAATAGTACCAATCACCTATAGTTCAAAACCATATTTGGTGTCATAGATTATCTTGTTACTGTATGAATAACTTTCATGTTTACCTTGTAAGCTGTTTGAAATTTTTGTTAAATTTTTTCATGGTCATTTTGAGAATTTATCTTCATGGAGAACATATATTAATTAATGTATTCCATTTTTGTAGGTCAGGAAGAGAAGCCAAAAATGTTACCATCAAATTTAAAGATAACTAATGAAAACACAAATTATATTTCACCAACACAAAAAATCCAGTTTGCCTTTTCCTTAAATAAATATGAAGCAGGTGATCTGAATTTAGGAGGAGCAGGTAACAATGACTTAGCACATGTTCCTGGCAAGCTGACATATGGTATTTCTGAGAAATACAAAAATCACGTTAGCACTGAAATAATACCTGAGAAAAGTGTTCCAGATAATACAAAATTATTTAATTTTGCAGAAGGTAAAGGAGAGAGCACATCAGCCTTCCGAAAAAGGTAATTAATTAAATGAATTACAGAATATTCAATGATAAAGTTGAACATTTATGGTATGTCCAAATGTATGAAGTATGATAGAATCTAAATGAGAAAAACATCAACAAATAGGGTTTAGTATATACCAAATGCTCTGTTAACTCTGGGATTCTAGTCATAGGTTCTTGCCTTCAGAGACCTACAACTTAATGGGGAAAGGACAAATAATTTAAAATAATTGATTAAGTACTTTATAGTACAACAATTATTTTGATGAAGTATATAGTTAGAGCAAAGGGTCTCAAAATTTTTCAAACTTTTTACTGTAAGGACCCTTTACACTTAAAAATTACTGAGGATTCTCAACAGTTTTTGTATATATGGGTTACGTCTATCAATATTTAACCATATTAGAAATGAAAACTCAAAAAATTTAAAAAGCAAACAGTGCTTTACTATTATGAAAATTGTTTTGATTCTACATACTTTCTGAAGAGTCTCAACTGTCCTTTGAGAATTGCTGTTACAGCATATCATATGGGGTCCTAATCTGTTCTGGAGCATCAGGGAGGGCTTTCTTCACGAAGTGGTATTTAAACTTAACTTTGGGGTACCTGGGTGGCTCAGTCGGTTAAGCATCTGCCTTTGGCTCAGGTCATGATCCCAGAGTCCCAGGATCACATCCCGCATCAGGCTCCCTGCTCAGCGGGGAGTCTACTTCTCCCTCTGAACTTCCAACCTCTTGTACTTTCTCTCTATCTCTCAAATAAATAAATAACATCTTAAAAAATACAAAAACAAAAACTTAACCTTAAGGAGGAATAGAATTAAACTAAGGGCAAATGAAGGAGAGTACTCTAGGCAGAAAGAATAATAAGTACAAAAGACCCAAAGTAGCACAGAGCTTGGCCTATTAGAAAATTTCCTTTTGTGTAAAATCAGAGAGCATGCGGAGAGGTAAGGTTTGGAGAGGTCGAGTCATTCAGAATCATGTAGGCCGCCATAAACTTTGTGCTTTTTCTTAAGGCACTGTTTCTTAAGCTGTGGCCTGTGCACCCACCATATCAGAATCATCTGAAGTACTTGTTAGAAATTTGGGTTCCTGAGTCCTACCTTAGGCCTGTTGAATCACAGTCTATATAAAGGTGGGGAGGGGACCCAGGAATTGTCATTTTTAACAATTTTTTCTAGATGATTGTTATGCACAATAAAGTTTGAGAGCTAGAATTCTAAGATTCTACATTTTAAGTAGAGGAGTAGAATTGAATTTTTTTTTTAATTTAAAGTGCATTTTGGCAATCAGTATGATGAATTAGAAGGAACTAAAATACTTTGTGAAAGGTCACTTAGAAGGTTTTTATTAATCTAGGTGAGAGAGAATGGGAGACTGATGTAGACTGTGGTAGCAGAAATGAGAGAGTTCAGAGTGATTTAAGAGATAAAATTCCCATAGCACCTAAATGATTATTAGATATGACACCTGATTCATGGTTTTCTGACTTGAACCAGAATGATGAAGGATGGTAGTGCCCTTTCATGATGTGGAAAACTATAAAGGAAGAACAGGTTTGGGGGAAGGTGATGAGTACAGATTTGGACATGTTGAGTTTGAGTACCTATAAATTGTCCAGATAGGGAATTGGATGTATGGGTTTAAAGATTCAGAAGAGATCTAACTGATAGGTTTTGTTTTCTCTGTGACATAAGAGATGAGGTCATTTGTGGAGTTTGAGGGGAAAAAGTGGGAATATTGAACAAGTACGAGAAGAGTGGAAGAGATTATTAAAAATGGGAAAGCAATCCAGTTAGAATAATGGTAGGCTTGTTGGACACTCTAATTTTAGTATATGTGCGGCAGAAGCGAGCACTTTGTTGAACACTCTAAAGGGCCCAATTGAGGTTGATGTCTATGAATTTTTTGTAACAGTTCTATTAAGATACTACTCAGGGTGCCTGGGTGGCTCAGTTGGTTAAGTGCCAATTCTTGGTTTTGCCTCAGGTCATGATTTCAGGGTCATGAGATTGAGCCCTGCCTGGGGCTCCTTGCTCAGCATGGAATGCTTGAAATTCTCTCCTTCCCCCTTTACTCCTCCCCCTACTTGCCCTTACTCTCTCAAACAAATAAATAAATAAAATCTTTAAAAAAAGGAGATATAACTCATATAAAATTCACTCTTCTGAAGTGTACATTCATGGGTTTTTAGAATATTCACAGAGTTGTGTACTCATCACCACTATCTAATTTTAAAATATTTTCATCTCCCCAAAAGAAACTGTATTCATTATTGATTACTTCCCTTGCCAACTCCTCATTCTCCTTCCCTCTCTCCAGCCCCTGGCAACCACTTACCTTTCTGTTTTTAATGGATTTGCCTATTCTAGATTTTCATATAAGTGGAATCATACAATGTCTGGCCTTTTGTGTCTGTCTTTTTTCACTTAGCATAAGGTTCTCAGGGTTTATCCATATTACATTGTATATCAATACTTCATGTTTAATGGTCAAATAATATTCCATTCAGTGGACAGTGCAGCATTTTATCCATTTATCGATTGTTGGACATTTGAATTATTTCTACTTTTTGACTATTATTAATGCTGCTGTGAACATTCATGTACAAGTTTCTGTGTGAATATATTTTTGTAATTCTTTTGGATTTATGCCTAGAATTGGAATTGTTGGCTCATATGGTAACTATATACTTAACTTTTTTGAGAAATTGCCAAATTATTTTCCAAAATAACTGTACCACTTCATAATCCTACAAGCAATATGTGAGGGTTCCAATTTCTCTGTCCTTGTCAGTAGTTGTTATTATTCGTCTTTTTTGTTGTAGCCATCCCAGTGGGTTTGAAGTGGCATCTCACTGATTAGCATTTCCCTAATGACCTATGAGATTGGGCATCTTTTCATGTGATTATTGGCTAGTTGTGTATTACCTTTGGAGTAATATCTATTCAAATCTTTCATTTTTTAATTGGGTTTTCTGTCTTTTTATTGTTGAGTTGTAAGAGTTCTTTATATATTCTGGATAAAAGTCTCTTATCAGCTGTATGACTTGCTAATATTTCTCCCATTCTCTGTGTTGTTTTTCACTTTTTTGATAATGTCCTCAGCAGTTTTAAATTTTGATGAGGTCCAGTTTATCTAATTTTTCTTTTGTTGCTTGGGCTTTTGGTGTCATAGCCAAGAAATCATTGCTTAATTCAAGGTTGTATAAAGATTTACTACTGCATTTTCTTATAAGATTTTTATAGTTTTAGCTCTTATATTTAGGTCTGTGATTTTTTTTTAAGGATCTTATATATTTATTTATTTTAGAGAGAGAGAGAGTGCATGAGCAGGGGGAGGAGCAGAGGGAAAAGAACAAGCAGACTCCATGCTGAGTGCAGAGCCTGACATGAAGCTTGATCCCAGAATCCTGAGATAATGACCTGAGCCAAAATCAAAAGTCCAGTGTTCAACTGACTGAGCCACCCAGGTGCCCCTGTTCACCTCTGAAGCTTTCTGAACCCCTTGTCATATATGGGTTTTTCCTTCATGGTAGTTTTATTAGGTATGCATGATTGATAAATCATTGGCCATTGGTGATTGAACTCAATCTCCATTCCTCTTTCTTCCTTGGGTATCACAGATGAGGCTGAAAGTTCAGCCTTCTCTAATTAGGGTTTATTTTTCTCTGGCAGTTAACCCCATCTTGAAGCTATCTAGGGGTCCTACAAGAGTCACTTCATTAGCATAAACTCAGGTATGATTGGAAGGGGTTTGTCATGAATAACAAAGATGCTTTTTATCACTACTATCCCAGAGAAAATTCCAAGGGTTTTAGGAGCCCTGTGCCAGGTACTGGGAACAAAGACCAAATGTATATTTCCTATTATACTAACTAGGAAACTATCTACTAAATAAAGGCTTATTTCTGGGCTCTCAGTTCTATTCCACTGACCAGTATTTGCATGAGTACATATCCCACACTGTCTTGATTACTGTAGCTTTGTTGTAAAGTTTTATTTATTTATTTATTTTAAAGATTTTATTTGTTTATTTGACAGAGAGAGATCACAAGTAGACAGAGAGGCAGGCAGAGAGAGAGAGAGAGGGAAGCAGGCCGAGAGCCCGATACGGGACTCGATCCCAGGACCTTTAGATCATGACCTGAGCTGAAGGCAGCGGCTTAACCCACTGAGCCACCCAGGCGCCCTGTTGTAAAGTTTTAAATTGGGATGTGTGAGGCCTCCAACTTTGTTCCTTTTTTCAAGATTTTTTTTTTAAAACATAGTTTTTTTAAATTTTTTTTTATTTGACAGAGAGAGAGGGATCACAAGTAGGCAGAGGGGCAGACAGAGAGAGGGGGGGAAGCAGGCTTCCCGCTGAGCAGAGAGCCTGATGCGGGGCTCGATCCCAGGACCCTGGGATCTTGACCTGAGCCGAAGGCAGAGGCTTAACCCACTGAGCCACCCAGGCGCCCCAAGATTTTTTTTTTTTTAAGCTTCTCTGGGTTCTTTGCATTTTCAGATGAATGCTGTGATACATTGGTAAATTTCTGCAAAGAAGTCAGCTGGGATTTTGATGGGGATGGTATTGAATCTGTAGATCAACTTGAGGAGTATTGCCATCTTAATGTTAAGTCCTTTAGTCTATGAACATGACTTATCTTTCCGTTTGTTTAGATTTTCTTTAATCTCTTTCAATGATGTGTGAGATTTTCAGTGGACAAGTCAAACTTGTTTTGTTAAGTTTATTTCTGAGTATTTTGCTCTTTTTGATGCTTTTATAAATGGAATTAAAAAGTTTTTTTTTTTTTCAGATTGTACATTGCAAGTGTTTAAACATCAGCAATTGATTTTGGTATATTGATCTTGTATCTATAGTGTTGCTGATGATGACTCTCAGTTTTATTGTTCAGAGTGTTATGTCATCTACCTAACTGCTTTTTCCAGTAGTGTTCCCCTGCCCACCTGCAATTATTTTAAAAAGTAGGTAGATTCACCTAGGATTGAGGTTTTGCAAGATAAGGATGTTAAAAGGATAAAGAGGAATTGGAGTTTGGAATATTAGTAAAAGAGTGGTCAAAAAGATAGGCCATGGGATCTAAGTCCATTAAAGGTAGATGAGAAAAGAGAAGGGAAGATAGTTTGGGGGAAAATAAAGAGGTTCATTAAAGTATATTTGTTTTTTTACTTCATTGGTAGCTTGTGTAAATAAGCTGAAAGAATAAGAAGCTGTGGTCAGAGAATGATATATTGGAATGATTGATTTGAGAGGAGGAGCAGTTCTGGATAATGACAGTGTTTAAGATGAGAGAATAGGTGAATGAAATTGTTTGAAGTAGAAAGCCGCTGTAGTTGAATGCCTAAGAAATGAAGAGGAGAGGATTTTGAATGGCTTATCTGTATGAATGTTGAAGTAATGGAGATGGTGGCAGAATTTGGAATTGAGAGGAAAAGATTCTTAAGTGACCACATGTTGCTATATGATATATGCCATGAGGAGGGTTACAAAGTGTTATAACTAGTTGGCACAGATAACTTCTATAAGAGAACAGAAGAATAATGATGCAGATTTTGGATGAAGAAGGCACAGACTCTCAATCCTCAAGTACATTTGGTGTGGAAAAATTAGCAATTTCTACTTGAGTTTTTTAAGAAGCAAGAATTTTTCAGGGCAATGCAATATTTTTGTTAAGACCAGGAAGTAATTGTAGCAATCAGTGAAGAAGTTGAGGACATAGGGGAGTTTATGGAGTGTGAGTTCTAGAGGAACTAGGAAGAATCTGAGGTCCAGAGAATTTAGGTAACTAGCACATGGATAATATTTTTATAGTTCACAAAACTTATTTCAAACTCTAAGTCACACAGCTAGAAAGTGGAGGAGCTCTGGATTTAAACCCAGTTTGTCTGTTTCCAAAGTCCATGCTTTTAACTGATATGACTGCAGATAGCAAGGAGTCATCCTGTGGCGTAAGTTGTTTTTCTTATCCTCAATACCATTTCATAATCAAATTCTACTATATTATTCAAGGCTAATCATCTGCTTTTGAATTTTCTATCTTCATTGATAGGAGGATGTATTGAAGGATAGAACAACCCTACAGTTTGTTCTAAAGTGTATTTCTTGTTCTATAGTGTTTTTAAAGACTCCTGCTTATATGGAAACATGTCATTAAAAATTAATAGTAAAAATAATTTAGAAAGTGTTCTGTATTTGCACAATACTTGTTTGGATGTCATTTCTTATAGAATTCTGTAAGACTGATCTCTTCTGTCATCCCTAATACTTATTTTGTAAGATACAAATATTACATTAGGACATTTTACTTTTCAAATTTTATTTGTTTTCTGAGAGAGAGAGGGTGAGAGTACACATATCCATATGTGCACAAGAAGGGTTGGAAGGGGCAGAGAGAGAGGGAGAGAGAGAATTTTAAGCAAGCTCCATACCCTACATGGGGCTCAATCTGAGGACTCTGAGATCATGACCTGAGCCTAAATCAAGAGTTGGATGTTTAAACTACTGCGCCGCGCAGGCACCCCTGTATTAGGAACTTTAATGGTCACTTCATATCTTAGGGCTATGGTGAACAAATTAGTTTGATGGGTTGACTTTTGATCAGTTCAATATAATAAATTGCAATTCTAAAGATGGCCTTTGTTTTCTAGAACTTTGCAAAGAAAATACTTCTTTGCAAAGTGTTCTTGACAGTGATACTTATTTAGTATTAGACTAAAATGACTATTGAATAATGTTTGGGAAGTTGCTGCTGTTCCTGACAAGAAGCCACAATACCTGACTACATGGGCCTCTCCATCCAGTTGCCTTTGTATTCTCAAGATGTAGTGGATAGGTCTGCTGAGTGTGAATGATCCAAGAGCCCATGCAGAAGAGACAGTATCTTTTCTGACCTACCTTTGGAAGTCATGCACTTGTACTTCCTCAGTACTCTACTAGTCATGTAATTCTGTCCTGACTCAAAGTCCTAATTTGAAAAGGATGCGACTAGCAGGAGACAGGTCTTGGAGGTTGGCTTCTACAAATGAATTTGAGTTTTCCCTTCTAAAAGTGAAAAGACATAATTCAGTGGTAAATTTGTCAAGTCGTATTTTAGGGGAATGCTTTAATTTTATGTTTGAATAAGCCACAATCTATGGGCATTTTTCAAAGGACCGATTTTATGTTAGTTTTTCCCTTTCTAAGCAGCTGTTCAAGGGCAAACTTTTTTTTTTTTTTTTTTTTTTTTGCAGATTGTTTAAAATATCTGATAATATACATGAGGGTGTTAACTCTAATGACAGTACAAACTTGGACTCTCCTATTGGCTCAGTGAAAGTTGCCCCAACAGAAATGAACAAAGGGGAATTATGGAAATGTAGCAGTAGTAAACAGAAACGTCAATATTCAGACATTAACATGTTTACAGCAAGCAGTACTCTTTCTGCTTCTGAAATCAGGGAAGAGATATTCAAAGCACCAACTTTTGCAGTTGCATCCCAGCCTCATGAAGTTCAAGGTAATTCCTTGCTTTTTTCAGTTGGTTTTATAATAGAACAAACTAGTCTGTATTTCTCAGCATAAGGAAGAATATAAAAATATAAATACAAAAGTAAGGAATACAAAAATGAAAAAAAGAAAAAGTAAATAAAAATAAATACAAAAAATAATAAAAAATGCAGTTTCTGCATTTCTCAATCTATTGCATTTTTAAACTATGGTCTAGGGTGCCTGGCTGGCTCAGTTGGTAGAGCATGTGACTCTTGGAGTAAATGTCATAAGTTCAAGCCTTGTGTTGGGCGTGGAGCCTACTTAAAAAAATAAAAAATGAAATAAACTATGATCTAATATTTAACTGTGCTCTTAATAAAAAGTTATACTAGTTTTATTGAGGCAGTTAGTATGGAAGAGATTAAAAATACCTATATAAATATGTAGAATTATTTTTAGGAGTAACAGAAAATGATATAGATTCCTTGAAGGCTGTCACAGAAATCCGTATCCTTTATTTTACTATAGCAGCTTTATATTTGAAATCATAATTTGTAAGCATGTTATTTTATTGTGTCTGTGTTTATTTTATTGACAATGAAAAAGAGGGGAAAGTGCATCTTTTGGGCCGTGTAAGAGACCCAATGTATGTGAGAGTCAGTGCTGCTCAAAGTGTGGCAGGCTAGTGCCAGTTTGTGAACTGCTTGTTACGAGCTTGTGACAAGATAAGTATAGAAATGAGATTTGTATTATTGGCTGCATTCTGAGCATGTTTCCTTAGATACAGATCATTTCCTAAGGATAGTATATTGTATAGTATATTGGGATAAACATGGGTAGGGGAAATAAATGAGAATGGGACATTCTGTGGATTGGGTATATTTTTTTACAAATCTAGCATTTTTTGAATGAAATTTACAGTTTATACGTATGGTATAATTTACATGTCTGGGCATTTCCAATATAAATATTTTGAGTATATATGTGCATTCTGGAGATAACATCATCTTTGCTTTTTTGATATCTCATGTACGTCTATAACAGTGTACTTGTTGTTTTTTATTATAATCCAGCAACTGTGACTATTATGTGACCATCCCTATGACCTGTGAACTCCTTGAAGGGAAGGGCCATCCCTTGTTTATCTTCCTATCTCCAAATATACTGAAAGGCAGGTAAAGGAAGTTGTTCTGACAAAAGAGTAGCCATGAGCCAAGATGAGGGTAAAATAGTGTGGAATATGTTAGAAAGAACAAGCATTCCAGTTTGGCCGAATAAAAGCTATGATTACAGGAGTAATAGGACATAATGATTGAAAGGTATCCTAGGATCAGGTTATTTAATGTCTTGGATACCAAGGTCAAGAGGTTTTGTTTGTTTGCTTTTTAATTTATTGAACAATGAGGAGAAACCATGCAGTATTTTGAGCAAGTCAAGTTATATCATCAAAACCATGCTTTTGGAATATGGAATTAATGACTCAAAGCTGGGCAAGGCTCCAGACTCCACAAAAGTTATTGTCTAGTTGGCAAAACAGTAAATGAATTCCTAATGAGCTGGAGGAATCTAGGGGAGAATTATTCTAGTCCAGGGTACTCAGGGGACTGAGTCCATTCTGAGGTATGGTTAGAAAATATTTACCTGACTTGGGATGCCTGGGTGGCTCAGTCAGTTGAGCATCTGTCTTTGGCTTGGGTCATGATCCCAGGGTCCTGGGATTGAGTCCGGCATGGGGCTCCTTGCTCAGTGGAGAATTTGCTTCTCTCTCTCTGCCTGCTTTGCCTGTTTCTGCCTGCAGTTCTCCCTCTCTCTGACAAATAAATAAAACCTCTAAAAAAACATATTTGCCTGACCAATCATGAAAATTTTCCTGCAATGCAGATAACTGAACTAAGTTAGAATGGGGGAAGAGAACAATAAAGGATTATACATGATATATCATAACTTCAGATATAGTCAGCTTTTAGTGTTTCTGTTCAGCATGGTGTCTCAATCCTACTGTGCTTTCTTCTCTCTGGTGATCTAAATATGGTTGGAACATAGGAAATATGTTAGTCTTAAACAGGTAAAAGTTAGTTTCATTATGTGTATGATGAGAAAGTCTTCTTATACTTAATGCAACTTGCCATAATATGACAGTAACTTTTGAAGCGTTTTAAAGATCTTTTTTTTTTTAAAGATTTTTTTATTTATTCATTTGACAGACAGAGATCACAAGTAGGCAGAGAAGCAGACAGAGAGAGAGGAAGGGAAGCAGGCTCCCTGCTGAGCAGCTGAGCAGAGAGCCCAACGCGGGGCTCGATTCCGGGCCCCGAGACCATTACCCGAGCCGAAGGCAGAGGCTTTAACCCACTGAGCCACCCAGGCACCCCAATGAAGTGTTTTAAAGTGTTTTAAAGATATTAATGCTATATTACCTCAGCTGAAATGTATCTATTGTTTAGGTCTCTGTTAGTTAAAAATACTGCATACTCTTTTTGCATTGATTTGTTGTTCAAAAAGTTCATTTGTGGTTAAAATCACAGAACTACTTTTTATTATTTCTAAGTATGTATTTAAAGTGGAAGACTAAATGCTTTTCATGATAATTTAAGAGTTTTGGAATTACTAGGACACAGCATATTTTCTAATTCTTTTATAATATTATACTATATTTGAATCCTTAGGACAATAAAAGTTTGCTCAGATTGATTTTGCTATAGTAGTCTTACAATTTTCAATTCTGCAGACATTTTCCTACCTGTTATAACATATAATTGCAGTGACACTGCTGAGAGTTTGTTGAACAAAAGGAGAAATTTGATATTAAGTGTTTATAGTAATGATAAATGATGTTAGTAGTTCAGTTTTCTCATGAGCTGGAAAACTAATTCTATACTCTGAATCAAAGATTCATTTTTGTGAATGTAAATTGATGTGGAACTACCTAATGAGAGAAAAACCAGCATGCTGGCCCACTTGTGGGCTTGTTACAAATAAATATTTTATCGGAAGAAACATATTTTGAAGGAAAAATGAGATTCTTTCAAAAGCTTGATGGATTGACAAACTCAAAATTACACTTTTGTTTTGGCACAAATATTCTGATACTCTGTATAAGTAAAAATAAAATGAAGATTTGTATATTATCTGCTTGATTTAATAAACTCAAACCTATATTAATTGAGTGCTTACTATGAGCCTGGCACTGTTCTAGGTATTTGGAACATGTCAGTTAAGAAAACAGATAATGAATCCTTGCCTTGAGGGGTTAACATTCATTCTTGGGATGGGGTTGGGAGAGAAGACAGATCTGAACAATTCTAACAGTGTATAAATAAGTCATATAGTATGTTAGAAGGCAATGAGTAATTTGGAAAATGAAAAAGTGGAGTGGAGTAGAGGAGATGAAATTGGGGATGCTGGAATTGAGGGCTCAAGATTAGAATTAAGTAGAGTAATTTGGGTAGGTCTTCTTGAGAAGGAGAGATGTAAACAATTGAAGGAAGTGAAAGAGCCAAGGAAATAAGGAGGGAAGCAGTCTAGGCAGAGGGAAGTCCTTAACAGCAGGAACATGGCTGGTGTTTTTGAAGAACAGAAAGGAGTCCAATACAGCTAGAAGGGATTAGTCAGAGGCGAGAGTAGTAGGACCTGAGATCAGAATCACAAAGATGGAGGGGAGATCAAAGATCATGTAAGGCCTTGTAGTCATATGCTTTGAGAGAAAGTGGGCAAATGAGCAGAGAAGTAATATGTTCTCATTTAACCTTTTAACAAGATCACTTACTACAGTCCATCAATTTTTGTATATATGTTCATAAAAATAAAATTGCTGGAGTAACTGTGTATTTGTATTCTCAGATATATTATGTTTTATGTTTCCTAATAGATTATAACAGCCTCCATTGTAAGAACTCTTCTTCTTTATAGCTTCCCACAGCTTTCTAAATCCAGTAATGTATTTTGTATATAGTATTTATTTATTTATTTTTTATTTTTTATTTTTATTTTTTAAAGATTTTATTTATTTATTTGACAGACAGAGGTCACAAGTAGGCAGAGAAGCAGGCAGAGAGAGACAGGGAAGCAGGCTCCCTGCCGAGCAGAGAGCCCGATGTGGGGCTCGATCCCAGGACCCTGGGATCATGACCTGAGCCGAAGGCAGAGGCTTTAACCCACTGAGCCACTCAGGCACCCCTGCATATAGTATTTAATAGATGTAGTTGATAGATGTGACTCAGACTGAGAATACCACGTAAGTACAAGTATCTCCCAAGCTGACAGTAGACTCTCACCTTGGAGAGGGGACAGTTTAGTCTTCATATCTATTAATATTTTTGAGTTTTCTTACAGAGGAAGGACGGTTTAAGTTCTTATAGAGCCAATATGCTGTTAATTGCAATTAAATCCACCACTGAGTACAACTAAATTATTGAAAACAAAGGGATTCAGGGTTAGGTGACCAGAAACACATCTCAGCTAATGAAAGGCAACTAAAGTTGAAAAGTTAAAACAGTTAAAAGTGAAAAGTTAAAAAGTGAAATTGAGAACTTTAAAGGAGATATAAAAATTGCCTAGTCAACATGAATAAGAAAACACCACTCTGCAAAAGATAAAGTGTACACTTATTTTTGATATACTGGCAAATATGCAACTTTCTACATCTTTTCCATCAGATTTAATAGTCAAATTTTAATTGTCAAATTATAACCCTTATATAAACCTTGTTTCTGCACCGGGACATTTTTTTCAGAATATGGACTGTTACTGGGGACTATAATAATTTCTGTTAATTTCTCCCCCCTCCTGACTTTATTGATGTGTAATTGACAAATATATTTAGTTTGTCTAAATTGACAAACTGTTTAGTTTGAAGTAGTACACTTGATTTGCTGTATCACATGTATGATATGATAATTTGACATATGTATGCATTATAATAGGTGCCACCATCAAGTTAGTTTCCACCCTCCATCATCTTCCATATTTACTTTTTTGAATTATATAATTCAGTGCTATCAACTCTAGTCACCATGTCATACATTAGAACCTCACCTTATTGATCTTACAGCTGAAAGCTTATACCTTCTTATTAGCCTCTTTCTATTTCTCCCATGTCCCCAGCCCCTGTCAACCACCATTCTACTCTCTGTTTCTATGCGTTTGATCTTTTGTGCTTTTTTAAGAGTCCACTTATAAGTGATACTATGCAGTGTTTGTCTTTCTCTTTCTGGCTTAATTCGTTTTGCCTAATGGTCTTCAGGTTCATCCAATTTGTCAAAAAAGGCAGAATTCCCTTCCTTTTTAAGGCTGAATAGTATTTTATTGTGTGTGTAGGCATGTGTGTATAAGTGTGTGATATGTATATTTATTATATACATATATATAATATATATGTACATCACATTTTCTTTATCCATTTGTCTCTTTGCAGACACTTAAGATTATTTCCAAATCTTGGTTATTATGAATAATGCTGCAGTGAACATGGGATTACAGTTTTCTGTTTGAGATACTGATTTTGCTTCCTTTGAATATGTGCCCTAAGGGCACCTGGGTGGCTCAGTCTGTTAAGTGTCTGACTCTTGATTTCATCTCAGGTCTTAATCTTAGGGTTGTGAGTTCAAGCCCCACATTGAATGTGTACCCAAAAGTGAAATTGCTGGATCATAAGATAGTTCTATTTTTAATTTTTGAAGGAACCTCCATACTGTTTTCCATAGTGGCTGTACCCCTTTACATTCCTATCTACAGTGTACAAGTGTTCTCTTTTCTCCACATCCTCACTGCATTATTTTTTGTCTTTTTGGTAAATGGCATCCTGATAGGTGTGAGGTGATCTCTCATTGTGGTTTCAATTTGCATTTCCCTGATGATTCGTGATGTTGAGCACTTTTTACTTACTGTTGGCCATTTGTGTCTTCATTTGTGTCTTCTTTGGAAAATTGTTCAGGCCTTTGCCCATTTTTAAATTAGGTTATTTGTTTTTTGCTATTTAGTTGTATGAGTTCTTGTGTATTTTGGATATTAACCCCTTATCATACATATGGTTTACGAATATTTTATCCATAGGCTGCTTTTTCATTTTATTGATGGTTTCCTCTGCTGTGCAGAAGCTTTTTAGTTTGAAGTAGTATACTTGTTTATTTTCACATTTGTTGCCTTTGCCTTTGGTTTTAAATCTAAAAAAAAATTGCTAAGACTAGTGTGGGGAAGTTTATTCCCTATGTTTTCTTCTAGGAGTTTTAGGATTTCAGGTCTTATATTCAATTGGTTAATTCACTTTGAATTGATTTTTGTATATAGTGTAAGGGATCCAGTTTTATTCTTTTGTGTGTGGATATCCAGTTTTTCCAATACCTTTTATTGAAGAGGTTATCTTTTCCCAGTTCTTGGCTCCTTTGTTGAAAATTTATTGATCATATATGCACAGATTTATTTCTAGCCTATCTATTCTGTCTCATTGATCTAGCTGTCCAGTTTTTATGCCCATATCATCCAGTTTTTGATTACTGTAGCTTCGTAATACAGTTTGAAATCAGCAAGTATGATGCCTCTGGCTTTGTTCTTTCTCAAGATTGCTTTGGCCATTTGGGGTCTTGTGTAACTCCATATGAATTTTAGGATTTTTTTTTTATATTTCTCTAAAAAATGCAGTTGGAATTTTGATAAGGATTGAATTGAATCTGTAGATTGCTTTGGCAGTTTACAGTTTAGCAATATCAGTTCTTGAATCCTTGAACATGGAATATCCTTCCATTTATTTGTGTCTTCAGTTTCTTTCATCACTGTTTTATAGTTAATGGTTAAATTTATTCATAAGTATTTTATTTTTAATGCTATTGTCAATGGGATGGTTAGCTTTATTCCTTAGTATTTTATTTTATTTTATTTTTTAAAGATTTTATTTATTTATTTGTCAGAGAGAGAGGGAGAGAGAGCAAGCACAGGCAGACAGAATGGCAGGCAGAGGCAGAGGGAGAAGCAGGCTCCCTGATGAGCAAGGAGCCCGATGTGGGACTCAATCCCAGGACACTGGGATCATGACCTGAGCCGAAGGCAGCTGCTTAACCAACTGAGCCACCCAGGCGTCCCAGTATTTTATTTTTTGATGCTAATGTAAATAGGATTGTTTTCTTCATTTCTTTTTGATATTTTGTTGTTAGTGCACGGAAATGCAACTGATTTTTGTATATTGATTTTGTACTCTGCAACCTTACTGAATTTGTTTATTCTAACAGTTTTATAGTGGCGTCTCTAGTTTTTTCTATATATAATATGATGTCATCTATGAATAGAGACCGCTTTACTTCTTCTTTTCAATTTGGATACCTTTTATATCTCTTTCTTGCCTAATTTCTCTGGTTAGGATTTCCACTACTATTAAAAGTAGTGAAAGTGGGCATCCTTGTCTCTTTCCTAATCTTAGACAAAAGCTTTCAGCTTTTTGCCATTGAATATGATGTTAGCTGTGGGCTTGTCATAAATGGCTTTTATTATATTGAAGGACATTCCTTCTTTAGCCAGTTTCTGGAGTGTTTTTATCTTGAAAGGATACTGTATTTGTTAAATGCTTTTTTCTACATCTATTGAGATGACCATATGATTTTTTTTTTAAGATTTTATTTACTTATTTGAGAGAGAGAGAGAAAGAGCACAAGCAGGGTGAAGGGCAGAAGGAGAAGCAGACTCCCCACTGAGCAGGGAGCCCGATATGGAACTTGATCCTAGGACTCCAGGATCATGACCTGAGCCAAAGGCAGATGCTTAACGAGCTAAGCCACCCAGGTGCCCCGATCATACGATTTTTATCTTTAACTTTTTTTTTTTTTTTTTTTTTAAGTAAGCTCTGTGCCCAATGTGGGGCTTGAACTCATGACCCTAAGATCAGGAGTCACATGCTCTTCTGACTGAGCCAGCTGGGCACTCCTGATCTTTAACTTTTTAATGTGGGCGTATCATGTTGATTTATTTGTGGACATTGAACTTCTTTCTATTCCAGAAATAAATTCCATTTGATCATGTGGTTGTGACCCTTTTAATACACTGTTGAATTTGGTTTGTTAATATTTTGTAGAGGATTTTTGCATCTATATTCACTAGGAATATTGGCCTGTAATTTTCTTTTTATTGTAGTATCCTTACCTGGCTTTGGTATCAGTGTAAACTAAGCCCCTTAAGCTATCTTCATTTTTTTTTTTTATTCTTTTTTCATTTTGCTCCTCTGACTGGATTAATTCCATTGCCCTGTCTTTGAGTTCATTGATTCTTTCTTCTGTTTGATCTGTCTGATGTTGAATCCTTGTGATTTCTGTTTGGTACTTTTTTTATATCTTCTATGACTTTGTTGAAATTCTTACTTTGTTTATGCATTGCTTTCCTGACCTTGGTGAGCATTTTTATGTATTCTCTTAAACTACTGGATAAATCACTTATCTCTGTTTTGTTAAGTTTGGTTTCTGGAGACTTATCTTGTTCTCTTATATGGAACATATTCCCATTTCTTCGTTTTCCTTAACCTCTATGCTGGTTTTTACACATTTGATAAAATATCCACCTCTCCCAATATTGACAGGCTTAGGAGATGAGCCTCATCAATTAACTTAACCCAAACTCATAGTTCCCTTTCAAACCTTTCTGATTGCCCAACTCACTCTCTTTGTTCTTAGTGGCTTCTAGTAGTTGAGCTAAAATGTATCAGTGTCCCAAAGGGGAGGGTTGTAATTAGCACCTAGGTGCAGGCTGATTGAAAGCCAGAACCTGAGGTAGTAGCGAGAAAGTAGAAACTGGAAATGAACATTTTTGCTGCTCCCTCTGCACTGAGTATATCTGCAGAGGAAGAGGAGTTGTTCCTGTGCCCATTTAAGAACTGCTTATTTGTTTGCTATAGTCCTGTGGGTCTCATGGTTGCAAACCCTGTTGGCTTACAGAGTTGGGTGTTGGGGGCTTATCCTGTGGGTGGGAGCCTTAAAGGTTGGGGCTCTATATGTGTGATCCAAAGTCTTTGCTGGGAGAAGCTAGGAGTTGGGAGTTCCTTTCTGTTTGTATGGTGCTTTGCCAAAGATGGGAGTTAGGGTAAGAGTTGTCTCAGCCTTTCCTACCCATTTCATTGTGGGCATTTTCATTCACCCAGTGTGTAGGAGTCACTTAACTAATTTCTGGATTTTTCTTAGAATTGCTCCATGTGTAACTATATGTTTGGTGCATCTGTGGGAGGAGGGAAGGTTCAGGAGCCTCTTTTGTTGCCATATTGGTCACTCCCTCTATATCTATTAATTCCTTTCTTATGATGTTAAAACAGCAAGTATTAAAGCCTCATCATTAAATATTATCAAAGTTAATGTTGATTAATTGAATTTTTATATTAAAAGTAACCAATTAATTAATTAAAAGTAAAGAATTCTTAAAAATTCTGAAATATTTGACTCCTTAATGCTATTCTAAGCGGCAAAATTTAGAAGTGTGTTCAAGGAATTCCCATATTTCAACTATATACAATCCAAAGCCTTTGATGATGTAAGTATTTTATTATGATTTTTATTTATCTGCCTCTTCTTATTTTATTGTGTACTCTCTAAGGGCAAGGACTAGATCACATTCATCTTTATGTTTCCAGTGCCATGCTCAGTGACTGGTACACTATAGGGACTCAAAAAATGTTTGCTAAATGAATGTATGTGACTTTCATAGGTGGGGTTTGTTTATACTTATTAAATTTATAAAATTTCTCTGGAAGCTAAAGAAATTATTTTCTTCTAGGTCTAACATATTATTTTCACAAATGAAACATAATGATAAATTATTTAATAATGGTGTTTTTTTGGGAGGGTGTGGATGTAGAGTAGGGTTAGAATTTTAGTAAGTTTAGAGGTAAAAATAATTTGAATTATTATTCCAGAGAGTCTTTCTTACATATTTTCTAACAAATTGAGAGTGTGAATGAAAAATTCTATATATTCCATGATTGATTAAATTTTATTTTTTAGCTTCTTTACACAGATAGGAATTTTGTGATTTGTGCTCCAACTGGTTCTGGGAAAACTGTAGTGTTTGAACTAGCTATAACAAGATTATTAATGGAAGTCCCATTGCCATGGTCAAATATTAAAATTGTTTACAGTAAGTATTATATAAGAGTAATTAATTATAATAATGAAAAACCATTGAGGCAAAAGTAAGAAATAAAGTTCAAGCCATAAGAATTAATATTCGGTTTGCCACACATTTTTAATGAAGACCTGTCACATTTGCTCTTGTCTGTTACATTAAATTCCAAACACATTTTCCCACAGTTGTAAATAAAAAGTAATATTTGAATTGAGAGTTTGACCTTTACTTTTTTTTTGTTTTTCTCCTTTTGATCTTTTTTTTAATTTAATTTTTTGTCAGTGTTCCAAGATTCTTTATGCAACGCACCCAGTGCTCCAGACAACATGTGTTTATTTTTTAAAGGACAACAAGAACAATAAATTCAAACATTTTGAAATTCTAAAAAATTTCCTTAGGAACCTGAACTCTTTGTTCTTAGATATATATATATATGTGTGTGTGTGTGTGTGTGTGTGTGTGTGTGTGTGTGTGTATATATTTAAAATTTTTCATCAAAGTAATTTATGTACATGGTTAAAAAAGATGGATTATTACAAAAAGTCTTTTAATGAAAAGCATAATCTCCTACCTTACCTCTCTCTGCTCTTAGTTACAATTCCCTGAACAATTACTTGTTTTTCTATTTTTAGTACAGCCTGGTGATTATATCTCTAAATAATATGCTTATATTGTTAACTCTTTCAATTTATAAGTACTAGGCAACACCTCGATGTTTGATCTTAATTTTATTAACCAATGTTTGTGGAAGTAATTTGAAAATTGCACTGACATTCAAAATAAATATCTTATATTGTTATAGTGGCACCAATAAAAGCCCTGTGTAGTCAGCGTTTTGATGATTGGAAAGAAAAATTTGGACCAATAGGATTGAATTGTAAAGAACTCACTGGAGATACAGTAATGGATGACCTATTTGAGATTCAGCATGCCCATATTATTATGACAACTCCAGTAGGTGTTATTTATACTCAGTTATTTCCTTGGTTTATTAGAAAATGTTTCTCTTCACCATGAATAAAAATTAAGAGAAAATACAAAGTATAAGAAAATATATGCAATGTAAAAAAGAAACAAACATAAAAAATACTACTATTCAGGTTATATAAAGAATACTTACTTATCTGTAAGTAAAAGACAAACTACCAAATGGGCAAAATAGGTAATTTGTTATTGAGGATAATTTGCAATCATATTTTTTGCTTGTATTCTTTTATCCAAGTATTATGTTACAGAGGGAGAACCTTGGTAGGGCTTAAAAAAGGTACTTAAACTATAATTTTGTATATTTTTGGTTATGTAAAAAATAAATGGGGGTTTAGTTTTTTAAGCACTTATAAGACTATCAAATTCTTTAAAGTGTTTTTAATCTTTAAAAATTTTTCAGGATACTTTTAAGACATAAATTAAAATATTGCCCATCCTTTGTATCAGGTTAAGATTTTTATTGATGTCTTAATAATATTTATTATAATTTCTTATGTTAAACCACTTGCATTTTTTCTTTAGGAAAAATGGGATAGCATGACTAGAAAATGGAGAGACAACTCTTTGGTCAAGCTGGTTAGACTCTTTCTCATTGATGAGGTAGTGAACACATTACTTCAACTTATTTTCAGAGATAAACATAAAATGATGACTAGGATGGATAGAAAGAAATAAGACATTTTCAACCAAACTCTGTTTTGTCCCTTCAAGTAGAAAGTCTTATTTTCTTTTTTTTTTTTTTTTAAAGATTTTATTTATTTATTTGACAGAGAGAGATCACAAGTAGGCAGAGAGGCAGGCAGAGAGAGAGGAAGAATCAGGCTCCCCACTGAGCAGAGAGCCCGATGCGGGGCTCGATCCCAGGACCCTGAGATTATGACCTGAGCCGAAGGCAGTGGCTTAACCCGCTGAGCCACCCAGGCGCCCCGAAAGTCTTATTTTCTTAAGAGTGTTAATATTATTATGGATTTTAACCAATTAAATAGTTTTTTTATTTTTATAGTTAATCATTTTTTTCTTGGTTTCTTTCTTAGGTACATGTTATAAAAGATGAAAATCGTGGACCAACTCTTGAAGTTGTAGTTAGCAGAATGAAAACTGTACAGTCTTTATCTCCTGCTTCTGAAAATAGCGGCATAATTATTCCAATGAGATTTATAGCTGTATCTGCAACAATTCCAAATGCTGAGGATGTAAGTTAGAATTTTAGTCTATCGGACTTTTTTATGACCAGTGAAATATTTTGTCATTTTAATCTTAGGGGGAAGTGAGGGTTTTTTCCTATGAATCCTATAAATGATTTAGTAGGAAAGTATGTTGTAGAAAGTTATAGTCAGATCTCATAGGTATGGCAGTATTAAGCCTTAATATTTGGTTGATTTGGTTTAATGAAACCAAATAATTGCTACAAGTCTGTTCTTTACTAGTATCTAAAAGTCTTGGTTTTTATGGGTTTCAGATACCTCATAATGACTAGTAATTTATTATGGTTGTAATCAGCTGACTCTAGTTGTATAGCAAAATATGGTGGAGAATGAAAATAATTGCTTAGGTGATTACTGCCCATCTTTTCACATTCTATGTGACTGGCATTATGGTAAGCACTAATAATAGATACAAAAGTGAAAACATATAGGTCTGGCCCTTGAGGAGGATCTCATGGTTAATGGAGTACATAGATAAATAATTGTATGCAGTATTATACTTGTTCTAATTTTTTTTCAATATCTGGGCAAACTTCTTGAAAAATAGTATGGTTTCATTTTTTCTCACTCCTATTTACTTCATAGCCTACTGTAGTAGGACTTTTTTCTTTTACTACTTAGAAATTTCAAATATAGTTCCATATTGTCAAATCTAATGGAAATTTTTGCCTGATTTATCTTTAATTTGGCAAAATTATTCATTTTCCTGTTAACAACTTATTTTGTTCATATTCAAGAATAACAGAAAATTTTTAAGTATATATAGTCAATAGAAACCCAGTGTTCGTCTTTCCAGATGTATAGGTAGAATCATACTATGCGTGCTCTTTTATGACTTGCATGTAACCTACAGACATTTCCATGTCATTAGATACTCTTCTTTAATATAGTTTTTGTGGTTTTATTATAAATTATTTATCTAATTATATGTGGCTTTTATAATTTATCTACTGCTTTAATGATGGAAGATTATTTCCATTTTTGCTATTGTAAATGGTGCTAAAGTTAATACATCTTTGAAAACATGATTTTTTTCCAGAATCTTTTTTTTAAAGATTTTATTTATTTGAGAGAGAGAGAATGAGAGAAAGAGAGCATAAGGGGAGAGAGGTCAGCAGGAGAAGCAGATTACCTGCCAAGCAGGGAGCCTGACGTAGGACTCGATCTTGGGACTCCAGGATCATGACCTGAGCTAAAGGCAGTTGCCCAACTGAGCCACCCAGGCACCCTATGATTATTTCTCTAGGATGGATGTCTAGTGTGAAATAACTGAGTCAAAGGATATATAAAACTCTAAGGAAACAGTGCTTTCAGTAGATGGTATAGTCATTTATACTTCCATCATTAGCCATTTCTCTGTATCCCAGCACTGGATATTATAATAAATTATTGTTATTATTACATTTAAATAGTTGTTGGGGTGCCTGGGTGGCCCAGTCGGTTAAGCATCTACCTTTGGCTCAGGTCATGATCCTGGGTCCTGCGATCCAGGCTACCTGCTCAGCAGGGAGTCTTCTTCCCCACTTCCCTCTCTCCCTCCCCCTTGCACACATGTACACACATGCATTCTATCTCTCAAGTAAATAGGTAAAATCTTTAAAAATAAATGGTTGTCACATTTCTTGTTTAAAATGTACTTTATTTTAAAAATTTGAACTGCTTTGATTTTTACTGAAGTAAGTATATTTTCTTACTATGTTATGTTAGTCACCGTACAGTACTTCATTAGTCCTTGATGTCATGTTCCATGATTCATTGTTTGCATATAACACCCAGTGCTCATTGCAATATGTGCCCTCCTTAATACCCATCACCAGCCAATGCATCCCCCCACCTTCCTCCCCTCTGAAACCCTCAGTTTGTTTCCCAGAGTGCATAGTCTCTCATGGTTTGTCTCCCCCTTTAATTCCCCTCCCTTCATTTTTCCCTTCCTTTTCCTAATGTCCTTCATGCTATTCCATATCTTCCACATATAAGTGAAATCATATAATAGTTGTCTTTCTCTGCTTGACTTATTTCACTTAGTTTAGTCCCCTTCATTCCTTCCATGTCAATGCAAGTGGTGGGTATTCTTCCTTTTTGATGACTGAGTAATATTCCATTGCATATATGGATCACATCTTCTTTATCCATTCATCTGTTGAAGGGCTTCTCGGCTCCTTCCACAGTTTGGCTATTGTGGACATTGCTGCTATGAACATTGGGGTGCATATGCCCCTTCTTTTCACTACATCTGTGCCTTTGGGTCTAAATACTCAGTAGTGGGATTGCTGGGTCATTGGTTAGCTCTACTTTTAACTTTCTGAGGAACCTCTGTACTGTTTTCCACAGTGGCTTTACCAATTTGCATTCCCACCAACAGTGTAAGAGGGTTCCCCTTTCTCCATATTGTCTCCAACATTTGTTGTTTCCTGCCTTGTTAATTTTTTCCATTCTAACTGGTGTAAGGTGGTATCTCAGTGTGGTTCTGATTTGAATTTCCCTGATGGCTAATGATATTGGACATTTTTTCATGTGTCTGTTAGCCATTCATATATCTGCTTTGGAGAAGTGTCTGTTCATGTCCTCTGCCCATTTTTTGACTAGATTATTTGTTTTTTGGGTTGTTGAGTTTGAGAAGTTCTTGTCATTTGCAAACATCCTCTCTCGTTCCATGGATTGCCTCTTTATTTTGTTGACTATTTCCTTTGCTGTGCAGAAGCTTTTTATCTTGATGAAGTCTCAGTGTTCATTTTTGCTTTTGTTTCGCTTGAAAGAAGTTGCTATGTCCAGTGTTGAAGAGGTCACTTCCTATGTTCTCCGCAAGGATTTTGGTGGATTCCCATGTCACATTGAGGTCTTTTATCCATTTAGAGTTTATCTTTGTTTATGGTGTAAGAGAATGGTCAAGTTTCATTTTTCTGTATATTGCTGTCCAGTTTTCCCAGCACCATTTATTTAAGAGACTGTCTTTTCTCCATTGGATATTTTGTCCTGCTTTGTTGAAGATTAGTTGACCGTAGAGTTGAGGATTCATATCTGGGCTCTCTATTCTGCTCCATTGATCTGTGTATCTGTTTTTGTGCCAGTATCATGCTGTCTTGGTGATCACAGCTTTGTAATATAGCTTGAATCAGGCAATGTGATACTTTATGTGGAAAATCCAAAAGACTTCACCCCCAAATTGCTAGAACTCATACAGCAATTCAGTAATGTGGCAGGATACAAAATCAGTGCACAGAAATCAGTTGCTTTACTATATGCTAACAATCTAACTGTAGAAAGAGAAATTAGGGAACCAATTTCATTTAAAATAACACCAAAAACTGAAAGATACCTTGGAATAAACCCAACCTAAGAGGTAAAGGTTCTATACTCTAGAAACTACAGAACACTTACAAAAGAAATTGAAGAAGACATGAAAAGGTGGAAAAACAGTCTATGCTCATGATTGGAAGAATAAACAGTGTTAAAATGTCTATGCTGCCCAGAGCAATCTATACTTCTCAACACCATTCCAATCAAAATACCAATGACATTTTTAAAAGAGCTGGAACAAACAATTGTAAAATTTGTATGGAACCAGAAAAGACCCTGAATTGCCAAGTAAATGTTGAAAAAGAAAACTAAAGCTGGGTGCATCATGTTGAAGTAAATATTTTTAATATATCAATCAATTACATAAGTTCTTTTTTTGTACCTTGTTAGGTCATGTTCTTTACCCTTTTTAAAAAATTATTTTTATTAACATATAATGTATTATTATTATGCCCCAGCGGTACACGTTTGTGAATCCTCAGGCTTACACACTTTATACCACTCACCATATCACATACCCTCCCCAATGTCCATAACCCAACCACCATATCCCTAACCCTCCCAACCCCCAGCAACCCTCAGTTTGTTTCCTGAGATTAAGAGTCTTTTATGGTATGTCTCCCTCCCAGTCCCATCTTGTTTCATTTTTGCCTTCCCTACCCCCCAAAACCTCCCACTCTGCCTCTGCAATTCATTATATCAGGGAGATGATATGATAATTGTCTTTCTCTGACTGACTTATTTAGCTTAGCATAATACCCTCTAGTTCCAGCCACGTCATTACAAATGGCAAGATTTCATTTCTTTTGATGGCTGCATAGTATTCCATTACATATACATATACCACATCTTCTTTATCCATTCATCTGTTGATGGACATCTCGGTTCTTTCCAGAGTTTGGCTGTTGTGGACATTGCTGCTATAACATTAGGGTGCACATGCCCCTTCGGATCACTGCATTTGTGTCTTTAGGGTAAATACTCAGTAGTGCGATTGCTGGGTCATAGGGTAACTCTATTTTCAACTTTTTGAGGAACCTCCATACTGTTTTCCACAGTGGCTGCACCAGCTTGCACTCCCACCAACAATGTAGGAGGGTTCCCCTTTCTCCACATCCTCGCCAACACCTGTCATTTCCTTGCTTGTTAATTTTAGCCATTCTGACTGGTGTGAGGTGGTATCTCACTGTGGTTTTGATTTGTATTTCACTGATGCCGAGTGATGTGGAGCACTTTTTCATGTGTCTGTTGGCCATCTGGATGTCTTCTTTGCAGAAATGTCTGTTCATGTCCTCTGCCCATTTCTTGTTTAGATTATTTGTTCTTTGGGTGTTGAGTTTGAGAAGTTCTTTACAGATTTTGGATACTAGCCCTTTATCTGATATGTCATTTGCAAATATCTTCTCCCATTCTGTCAGTTGTCTTTTTTTTTTTTTTAATTTTTATTTTATTTGACAGATAGAGATCACAAGTAGGCAGAGAGGCAGGCAGAGAGAGAGAGAGGAGGAAGCCGGCTCCCTGCCGAGCAGAGAGCCCGATGTGGGGCTCGATCCCAGGACCCTGGGATCATGACCTGAGCCGAAGGCAGAGGCTCCAACCCACTGAGCCACCCAGGCGCCCCTGTCAGTTGTCTTTTGGTTTTGTTGACTCTTTCCCTTGGTGTGCAAAAAAGCTTTTTATCTTGATGAAGT